TAAAAAAAGTTTATAGCCCTTCTTATTTTATTTATATTTCATGAAGTTTATATACCCTAAGCCTCAAAACGGATTATTACAGACTAGCACGAAGTGCTTGGAATTTTTAAAAAACAAACAAAAAGAGATGTGTTTATAAATGGATAGCATCATTTGTGAGTTTGGACCAGCCACCCCAAAAATCAGGCAAAGTCGTGCTGAAGTCACGCTTCATCTGGCATGTTGGTTCAAAAAGGCACCCAAACATTGACGTCAATCCTCAGGAACTCTTGTATTATCTCAAGATGCCGCTGAACCTGTGCCCCCGAACAGGCCTAAGCCATGCAAAAGTGATTCTTCTGTCCACCATCTTGTTGCAAAATGGCGCCCGGCGCCCATGTGTTTCTGCCCCACAAGTCCCAATGGACACCAGCCATGGGTGATTTTTTGGGGGGACCACGTTACCATAACTCCCTGCATTCACCATGCTGTGCCCCCAGCCACACTGCTACAACGTGAGTCCCTAGTAAGTCCCAAGCTCTTCCTCTCGTTCTTTTTTAAAAGGCAAGTCAACGTAGGCATCAACTACATTTTATTTCATTTCAATTTCACTTCTCTCCTTCCCTTTACAAGCATTTTAAATACTTCCCCCTCCCCTGCAAGAGAAAACGAGAAGACGCAGGAAGAAGACCACGATCCTGCGCCTTTATAATAAAATAAAAACAAAATAAATAGCCGGCCACACACTGTGGCTCCCCAGAGGAGGGCAGGTGCGTCGCAGGCGGCTGTGCTCATCCTGATTTTCTGCAACTCCCGTTCTGAACTAGAGGCTTGTGAAGCCATCAGTCCCATTGATCAGAGGGTGCGCACTGAAGCAGCAGCTGAAAGCTTTCTTTTTTAGAGTGCAACCCAGAAACATGGGGGGTGGGCCAGACAGAGATTTGGGGTTGGGGTGGGGATAAGGATTTCTAGCTGCCATTAGTATAAGGGGAAAAGGGATTGTAATAACCCAAGAAGGGCTCGAAAACATCCTCAGAGTCTTTTGGATCAGAAGGGAGATGTGCCTGTCTTAACCGGCCTCCCGCTTGAAGGCAATGGGGGGAAATTCAGCCAACGGCGCCCCCTAGAGGAGTGTCTGGGCCACTGTGGTTCCAACCTCGCATCCCTAAGGTTTTTGACTATGCTGCCAGCCAAATCTGGGAGGCTGCGTGCCTTTTCTCAACTTTCAAGGTTCCGCCGGACAGTTCAAGAGCGTGTGCATGTCTTCCAAGACCTGCCAGAGGCAGCTGTCCAGGGGGAAGTCGTTGTCCACCAAGTTGACCAGGTAATAGTTGTCGTGCATGTACTGGAGGATCATGCGAGAGGGGGACTCCTCTTCGTACAGCTTGGCCCACTGCTCAATCCACAGGGCAAAGGCCTCATCCTGTCCGAGGGGGGCAGAGAGAGAGAAGCAGGTCACACTTAAAAACAATTTGAGGTGGGGGTGGGAGTGCAGGAGGAACTATGGGAAACGAATTATTATTATTATTATTTATTGAATTTATATACCGCCCTATACCCGGGGGTCTCAGGGTGGTCCACAGAATAAAATCAAGATATAAAATCACAAAATACATAATAAAAAAACAAAAACATTTTAAAAGGGCCTAGGATGCAAATCGGATCAACCAAGGGCCTGCACTAAAAAGGAACGTTTCTGCTTGGCACCTAAAGGTGGATAATTATAGCAAAGTGGGTAAAAATAGAAATAAACCAAAAAAGTTGGGGGAAGTCTTTGAGAATTTGAGATGTATGTAATGAACGAAAATGAAAAATGAATAATTTTTTTTTTTTTAAAAAAAAATGAAGGCACCAGGCGAACTTGCCTGGGGAGAGCATTCCATGGATGGGGAGCCACTGCAGTAAAGGCCCCGTTCTCGTGTTGCGACCCTCCAGACCTCTCAAGGAGGAGGCACACGAAGGAGGGTCTCGGAGGATGATCTCAGGGAATGAGCGTCTGGAAGAGGCTGCATTATGCAGACTCAGACTTATCGGCGCAACTCGCTCAGTGTTGCCTGCTATGGCCAGCAGTGGCTCTCCAGGGTTTCAGGCTGGGTTCTCCCCCAGTTCTACCCGAGATGCCAGAGACTGAACTCAGGGCATTCTGCGTGCAAAGCAGATACCCTTGCGCTGAGCTACAGGCAGAAGAAGCTGCCTTAGACAGAGCCAGACTATTTGGTCTGTCACGCTCAGCACTGCCTCTACTAACTGGCAGCAGCTCTCCAGTGTTGCATAAACAGGGACATTTGCCAGCTCTACCTGGAGGTGCTGAGAAATGAACCTGAGCCCCTCCTGCATCCAAAGCATATGCTCTACCCCTGAGCTATGGCCCTTAGCATTCAGAAAAGGCCCCTGCTTAGCCAATGTGACTAGATGTGACCATATGAACCTACCCTGACCCTGAGATCATCTTCTGAGGCTCTCCTTTGTGCGCCTCCTCCTTGAGAGTCCAGAGGGTGGCAACACGAGAACGGGGCCTTCTCTGCAGTGGCTCCCCGTTGTGGAATGCTCTCCCCAGGGAAGTTCGCCTGGCGCCTTCATTACACACCTTCCAGTGCCAGGCAAAAATGTTCCTTTTTAACCAGGCCTTTGGCTTGATCTGTTTAATATCCTATACTAAGGTTACCAGATTTTTTTCAGTGAATCTGGGGACACTTTTCAATTTCAATAGGAATGATACGATTTTGTCAGGGGACTGATTTGTAAATCTGGGGACTGTCCACAGGAAAACGGGGACGTCTGGTAACCTTATCCTATACCCTTTTAAAATGTGGCTCTTTTCTGAGTAGGGTATTATTGGGTTGTTTTTATTCTGATTATATTTGTCTGTGAACCACCCTGAGACCTCCGGGTATAGGGCGGTATATAAACTCAATCAATCAATCAATCAATCAGTCAGTCATCATTATCAGGGGTCAGCAAACTTTTTCAGCAGGGGCCAGTCTACTGTCCCTGAAACTTTTTGGGGGGCTGAACTATATTTTTTTTTTGGGGGGGAATGAACGAATTCCTATGCCCCACAAATAACCTAGATGCATTTTAAAAAAAGGACACATTCTACTCATGTAAAAACACACTGATTCCTGGACCATCCATGGGATTTAGAAGGCAATTGGGCCGGATCCGGCCCCCGGGCCTTAGTTTGCCTATCCACCACCACCATCATCATCGATGGGCCACTGCTCTGATCCAGCGGGTTCTTATGTTCTTATGACTTGATACAGACCTATGAGTTCACTGAACCTGTGCAGGCAAAAGTGGGGGTTCTACCCCCAAGTTGTTATTAGAGGAGCAGAGGTACCCCGGTACCACAAGTTCTAGGGAATAGTAATTGGCACCTTGTACTTCTGTCCACATACATTTTCCACGGAAATGTACCAAAGCCCCAGATCTGTACCAACAGGCTAAAGAGTTTCCTGGGTGTTTGGGGCAGGGCAGGGAACAATAACCCTCTTACCTTTCCAGTACATGAAGCTAACCGGGTCTACAACCGTTGGCTGAATGATCTCTCTGCCGGGGAAGATGCCCCACGTTACAGCATTGGGTTGCATTTCATGCGCGTTGGTGATGTTCTCACCCTACCGACGGGAAACAGGAGGTTGTTTAGAAGGAAGAGAGGGAAACAGCTGCATCACGGTTTTGCATACACCTGTTAACTTGCTGCCAGGCCTGTACAGATCTCAAGACACGGGTGGCGCTCTGGTCTAAACCATTGAGCCTCTTGGGCTTGCCGATCAGAAGGTCAGCGGTTTGAATCCCCGCCACGGGGTGAGCTCCCGTTGCTCGGGGCCCAGCTCCTGCCAACCTAGCAGTTCGAAAGCACCCCAGTGCAAGTAGATAAATAGGGACCGCTTACCAGCGGGAAGGTAAACGGCGTTTCTGTGCGCTCTGGTTTCCGTCACGGTGTCCCGTTGCGCCAGTAGCAGTTTATTCCTGCAGGCCACATGACCCGGAAAGCTGTCTGCGGACAAATACCGGCTCCCTCGGCCTGAAAGCGAGATGAGCTCCGCAACCCCATAGTCCGCCTTTGACTGGACTTAACCATCCACAGGTCCTTTACCTTTTTTTCTTTTTTACAGATCTCAGGCCCAACTGAACAGGCCTCGGTCCAGTATACCTGAAGGAGCATCTCCACCTCCATTGTTCTGCCTGGACACTGAGGTCCAGCGCCAAGGGCCTTCTGGCGGTTCCCTTGCAATGAGAAGCCAAGTTACAGGGAACCAGGCAGAGGGCCTTCTCGGTAGTGGCGCCTGCCCTGTGGAACGCCCTCCCGCCAGATGTCAAAGAGAAAAAAAACTACCAAACTTTTAGAAGACATCTGAAGGCAGCCCTGTTTTGGGAAGCTTTTAATGTTTAATAGGTTATTGTATTTTAGTGTTCTGTTGGAAGCCGCCCGGAGTGGCTGGGGAAACCCAGCCAGATGGTGGCGTATAAATAATAAATTATTATTATTATTATTATTATTATTATTATTATTATTATTATTCTTCCTCCCTGCATCCAGAAAACTCCTCCAGGGAACGATATGCTCAGCTGATCAGATTCTCTGGCTAAACAGGAGGCACTGAAACTGGGCCACAAGGAGGAGCCATGAACCCAATGCCAATTGTCCTAGCAGAGGCTGAACAGTTCTCAAAATATTCTCCAGAGATCACAAGCAGAGGGTTTGCTCCCCACATACGCTCTCAGTCCAAGCATCCCAAGTTTCCACGGAAACGTTTTCACTGCCAGCCTACCAGAGGAAGGACCAGGGTCGGATTTAAACCCAGTGAGGCTCCTAGGCAGTCAGAATCTCGCAGGCCCCCCTCACAAATTATTTCCCAATTTTCTTTCAAGATCAAATCAATATTATTTTGTTGTTTTTTTGTTTTTTCCATAAATTTTTATTAATTTCCAACATAAATTAAAAACAATACAAAACACAATACATAGACAAACAAACATATAAACACGTATAATTTCAAAAACCTCTTTTTCATAAATCTTACTTCCCCGACTTCCCCATGCCTCCCCTTTCTGCATCCCTATTTTAAAATTTCTTCAGCAACCCCTCACTTCAATTAACTGATTACTCATTTTCTTTATTTTCCCCCCCCTTCTTCTCTTACTTAATCATTTACAGCTGTACTTCTATATTGTTTCTTTACCCATGGCATTTTAGCACTCATTAATTTTACAACAGTTCTTAAGATATACTTTAAATTTCTTTCCAATCTTCTTCCGCCGTCTCTTTTCCTTGATCACGGATTCTGCCAGTCATCTCCGCCAGTCCCATATAATCAATCACCTTCGTCTGCCATTCTTCCAGCGTGGGTAGTTCTTGTGTCTTCCAATACTTTGCTAAAAAAACCCTTGCTGCTGTGGTAGCATACATAAAAAACATCCTGTCCTTCCTTGACACCAATTGGCCAACCATGCCAATCAATATTATTTTGATCCGTTGTTGAGGGGCCCCTAGGCTCGTAGGCCAGTGCCCAGTCTGTCTGTTTGGTAATCTGGCACTGAGGAAGGACGCACCTTGACATTGACAATGTGGTAATTCACTCGCTGGCCGTAGTTCTTCAACACTGTTTGGAGGGCTCTGACATTCTCGCTGGAGGTGAAGAACTCCAGGTAAGCCTGGAAGGAGTCGAGAGAGGAGATGTTAGACACCAAAGAATCCCAGCAATGGCACAATTTAATGTTTAAATTAACTTGGGGGGGGAGAGCAGAGGTTTTTCTATTAGGAATTGTAGGTGCCGATATTCAAGGGAGCAGAAAATACTTTTTATGTATGCGACGACAGCCACCCGGTTGTTACTGGCCCAGAGATGGAAAGAAGACAAAGTCCCTAATAGGGAACCCAGAACAATGGTGCGCAAGGCCTTATATAGACATTTTAAATTCCCTGCCCTGTCACTCAAGACTACCCGTCCATACATCATACCTACATCACAGAAAAGGCGGTCTACAATTTAAATGTTGGACTACAGAAATTTAAAATTCAGTACCAAATTATCTAAGGTTGTTCACCAAAAGCCAGACTAAACGTCTTTCCTTCTGCAGTGTTGGATGGCAGGTTGAGAGGAGTTCCCTACCAGGACAGACTTTGCTCATGTGCTCAAGACATCGATTCTATAAAACATATTTTGCTGCGAAACATGAGCAAGCCAAGGCTGAACTGATATTACCCTTGCTGGTACCTTTCCTGGGAAAATCAGAGGCTCATTATGTCAGGTTCCTATTGGAAGACCGGACAAACGCTAGAACATTAGCAGTGGCAAAGTTTTTATCGGTGGTTGCAAGAACCAATGATCCCTGTCTTTAAGTCTGAACAAAATGCTTGTTTAACCTGGAGGTAGGCTGTCTGAATTGTGCATTGCTTTGTAACAATTTGTTGGGTCTCTGGACCGTGATAAAGGGGAAAAAAAATCAATGCTAAAAGCAGTTCAAAACAATTTACAGTCACAGCGATCTGCTGTGACCTGAAAAACGTGTCTCTTGGATCATAGAATCATAGAGTTGTAAGGGACCCGAGGGTCATCTAGTCCAACCCCCTGCAAGGCAGGAATCTCAGCTCAAGCATCCATGGCAGATGCCCATCCAACTCCTTTCCTGCAACTTGAAGCCACTGGTTTGAATCCTACCTTCCAGAGCAGGAGGAAACAAGCTTGCTCCATCCTCCATGTGACAGCCATCTTTGAAGATGGCTACCATATCTCCTCTCAGTCTCCTCTTTTGCAGGCTAAACATCCCCAGCTCCTTCAAACCGTTCCTCACAAGGCTTAGCTTCTAGATCATCCTAGTTGCCCTCCTCTGCACCCCGCGAAGCCAAAGTGGTTGTGTCTTCAGCCTGTGATGGGAGCAATACAATGAAGGTGCATGATCCAGGGGGCACGACTCTAAATCCGGCCCTACTTTCCCTGCCAGTTGGGCCTCACTTGCACCTTCCTGCTTGGCCTCCATATAGGGGCCTCTGTTCGACATCTGCGGACGGCACTTCCTCAGAGACATCTGCGGCGGCCTCCTCAAATCCCACCTGCAACATCAGGAAGGAACCCTGTCAGGACAGAGCAACAGGGCAAGGAGGGAGAGGCCTGGGCGGAAAAACCCAGAGCCTCCCTCAAACCCCACCCTGAAGCCATCACCCAGCCATACCCTCCAACGTTCCTTAGATGAAAAGAGGGGCATTTGTCACTCCCCACTCAACTGACCCTCCTCATCCCCAACCCCCATTTTTGTTCCCCAACCCATCCAGCAGAGCATTCCCACCACGACCACACCAATGGGATGCAGCACAAATGCCCTCCTGAGAAAAACCCTTCACCCCGGCTTTCTTTTTTGGTCAATTGACAAAAAGAGAAGCACACGCCAATGAATACATTTTAGAAAGGGGCAAGATTAGATGCAGACGCACAAATCACTTTTTTCAAATACAGCAGTTTTTGAAACGTAATCCGTTCCTGAAGACCGTTCGACTTCCAAAACGTTCGACAGCCGAGGCGCAATGGGCGTGAAATCCCTTGAAAAAATGGAGAAATGTGACTCGGAAGCCGTTTGACTTTTGAAACGAAAAGAATTGCTTCCGAGTTTTCGGCGTTCGGGTTCCGAATCGTTCAGCATCCGATACGCTCGAAAACTGAGGTTTCCCTGTCCAAAAATCAAGATTCCTTGTGCTCTGCTCCACTCCCCCTTTCTTCTTTCCCAGCTAAATATTTCTTTCTTTCTTTCTTCTTGTCCTCTGCCTCCCCCTCAGAGCTGGCGCGTCAAACAGGGCCTTAATGGTGGTGGCCTCTCCTCCCCACCCGCTATCTAGCAGCCACTAGCAGCTGCCCAAGGGAGGAAGCTGGTAGCAGCAGCCGTGGAGAGGCCATGGAGAGGCAACAGGATGCCCTCTCACAGCCGCCGCAGCCGCCATGGCTTGGGACAAGGGCCAGCTCATACTATTCCCTGATCTCGGCACTGGCAGCGGAATTAGGGACAGTCCAGGATCAAATCAGAAGCTGGGGTGGCTTTCATAATTCCAGAACTGTCATTGGAGACAAGGGACACTTGGGGAGTATGCCTAGAAGAGCACAGGAATCATAGAGTTGGAAGGGATCCTGAGGGTCATCTAGTCCAACCCCTTGCAACGCAGGAATCTTTTGCCCCCAAAACGGGACTTGAACCCGCAACCCTGAGACTAAGTGTTTCCCTGAGTGAGCTAGGGGCATAGAATTGGACTTCCCCTCCTTAATCAGCATGAAACGGACAGGCTTCGCTCTCTTGGTTAACAACCCAGGGAGTGGCAGGATCCAGCCCCCCAGGAGCCCCCCCAGCAACACAGCCCCAAGGCGCATGTGAGCTCCTGCCCCTCAGCTTCCCGTTGCGCCTGGAGGTCTTCCTCGGCCAGGGCCACTGCCTGGGAGCAGCTCTCAGGCCGGCCTCCCTGACCCAGCCCTGGACCTCGGGCGGCAGGATAGCCAGGAACTGCTCCAGGATCAGCAGTTCCAGAACCCTGCTCCTGGTGTGCCCGGTCCACTTTTAACCACCCCGGCAGAGCTGCCTGGAGCGCGGCCATAGGCCTCGCCCCTCGGCCTCCTGGTAGCAGAAGCGGCGGAAGTGCAGCGACCTGCCGCTTGCTCTCCCTGGTTCGGTGGTGGTCCCGCGCCAAGATTGGCCGCCTTCACTTCCCCATAATCCTCTCTGTCGCTGGCCTCCAGGCTGCCAAAGGCCCACTCGGCCCCTCCTCGCGAGGGCTGGCAGCAGCCCTGGCCGCCCACTCTCCCTTGGGCCACTGGCAGGCCTCGGCCACCCCGCTCAAAGGAGGGCCAGAAAGCCCTTGCATCGTCCCATGGGATGCTTCTGGCAAACCAAAGCAGCGCACGGAAACGCCCGTTTACCTTCCCGCCGGAAGGGTTACCTTTTTATCTACTTGCACTTTGTCGTGCTTTCCGATCTGCTAGGTTGGCAGGAGCAGGGACCCGAGCAACGGGAGCTCACCCCATAATGAGGATTTGAACCGCCGACCTTCTGATCGGCAAGTCCTAGGCTCTGTGGCTTAACCCACAGCGCCACCCGCGTCCCTCGGAGACCTGTTGTCTTGGGCTAAAAAAAACCATTGGTTCCAGTCTTGCCCTCCAAAACAGGAGAGAACAAGTTTGTTCCATCTTTCACATGACCACTATGGGCAGCTTACAGAATAACTAAAAATATAATAAAAAACAAAACCAAAACAAACATCAAGCTTTAAAAACCTCCCTACACAGGGCCTGCCTTCAGGTGTTTCTAAAATTGTGTAATTCTTTTATCTCTTGACAGCTGAAGGAAGGCCATTCCACAGGGAGGGCGCCACTACGAGAAGGCCCTCTGCTTGGTTTTTGAAATTTATTTTCAAAATTTGAAATTGGCTATCTTGCTCTTCTTGGCCTCCTCTTTCAAGGTTAAACCTAGCCAGCTCCTTCAAACCGTTGCCTCATAAGGTTTAGACCTTTGATCATGTTGGTTGTCATCCCTCGGGGGGTGAAGATAAAATTAGGATAGAGGATCTTGTGGATTTCCACACACACCACACACACACACACACACACTTCTTTTTCGTCTTCTCTTCTTTTTCTACTTCTTTATTTCCTTCTTTTCCTTATTCTTGCTTCTTCCTAGGTCTTTGGATTAGTTTGGCTTTCATTGAGTTTTATGCTGAAAACCCCTTATAGAAACCGATATGAAAAAATGAAGACACAAAAAAATATATATTTACAAATAAAGCTGTATTCAATGTATGAAAGGATATATGATTTTTTGACATGACTGAGAATCGCATAGCCAGGGACGGAGAACTTTAAAGCATTAAGATCAGAAGGAGGAAAATATGAAAGCAACGAGAAGAGGCAGGAAGAAAATTTGGAGATATGCTTCAGAGGTCCAGACTATAGGGAGCCTGTAAAAATTAATAACTACAATTTGGTTGTTTTGTTTTTAGTTTATTATTTTTAATTGGATTATGATTCGGGTATCTTGATTGGCTATTTTTATTGGAAAATCAATAAAAATGATTTTAAAAAAAAGAAAAAATGAAGACACAATTTCATACCGGCGGTGGCTAGACAGGGGAGGAAGGCTAATTGTGTTGGATCTGGAATTATCATATTTATTTATTCTTTTGTTCCCCGCCCATCTGGCTGACCACTTCTCGGTCCCTGCTCCTGCCAACCTAGTAGTTCAAAAGCACATCAAAGTGCAAGTAGATAAATAGGTACCGCTCCGGCAGGAAGGTAAACGGCGTTTCTGTGCGCTGCTCTGGTTCGCCCAGAAGCAGCTTAGTCCTGCTGGCCACATGACCCAGAAGCTGTACGCCGGCTCCCTTGGCCAATAAAGCGAGATGAGTTCCACAACCCCAGAGTCGGTCACGACTGGACCTAATGGTCAGGGGTCCCTTTACCTTTAAGGCAGCTTCCAACAAAGAGAGAAATTGTAAAAGGACTAAGTGTGGGGTGATTCATATTTCTGCTACAACACTGCTCTCCCCATGCGGTCCCCCACCCTCCCAAAAGGGTATCGTGGAGTTGGGAAGAGTTTCAGGAAACACCAGCCAAAGTCGGAACGTCTCCCACATGCGGAGAGGTTTCAACATTTGGGGATTTTTTTGGTTTAGAGGGAAATGTGAGAAAGAGGCAACGAGGCAGAACTTTATAAAATTATGCGCGGGTCCATCTTATGGGCTGCTTGTCACATTTATTTTATTTTTAGGAGGGAAAACTAATGCGTGGCACGGAAAAGGAAACGCAAGCCGTGGGGAACACTGATAACGTGCTTCTCGCGCTCCCATAATGCCAGACATCCAATGAAGCCGAACGTTGGACCAAAGAAAAGTATTTCACAGTTAAACTGTGGAACTCACTGCCACAAGAAGCACCAACAGCCACTGATTTTAAAAAAGACAAATTCATGGAGGAGAGGGTTATCGAGTGATGATGAGGATGATAATTTTTTTTATTTGTACCCCACCCATCTGTCTGAAGGGCAGTATTTACCGTATTTTCGCTCCATAAGACGCACCTAGTTTTTAGAGGAGGAAAACGGGGGGGGGGGGGATTCTGAATGAAACAGTGGATGTATGATTTTTGTGGTTCATGCTGTGGCCACAGACATGTGATTTGACAGTGAGTTTGGAGTAGCCCAATGCAAAAATCCTGAGGATCCATGTGGATCCGTGCTTTGTAACCATGTTTTTGCGCCATTGCGGCCCCACGCAACAGTGGGTGCGTGATATTTTTGGTGCAGGCTGTAGCCATGGACATGTTATGTGATCTGATGGTGAATCTGGGGTGACCCAATGTAAAAATGCTGAGGATCCATGGGCTTTTACTTCCCCCTCAATAAATATCTTATACAACAACAACAACAAAAGTCCTAAACGGCCTCAGCCCAGTATACCTGAAGGAGCGTCTCCACCCCCATCGTTCTGCCGGACACTGAGGTCCAACGCCAAGGGCCTTCTGGCAGTTCCCTCCCTGCGAGAAGCTAAGTTACAGGGAACCAGGCAGAGGGCCTTCTCGGTAGTGGCACCCAACCTGTGGAATGCCCTCCCACCAGATGTCAAGAGAACAACAACTACCAGACTTTTAGAAGACATCTGAAGGCAGCCCTGTTTAGGGAAGCTTTTATAATAGACTATTGTATTTTAATATTCTGTTGGAAGCCACACAGAGTGGCGGGAGAAACCCAGCCAGATGGGCGGGGTATGTATAAATAAATAATAAATAAATAAATAAATAAATAAATAAATCAACCTGCTTCATTGGAGGTTTTTAGAAGGCCATCTGTCATGGATGCTTCAGCTGAGATTCCTGCATTGCGGGTGTTTGGGCCAGATGACCCTCAAAATCCTTTCCAAAGCTACAATTCTATGATCCCATGAGCTAGGGGTGCAACAAGTTAAGCTGCAGAAAGAACCTCTCATTTGCAAATCATGTTCTTTCACCCAGACTGGGGGGTGGGGTTAGACCAGATGTGAAACAGGATGGTGTTTGCGTCAGAACGCCCCGCTTAAAATGAAGGAGGGAGGGAAAACACTTTCGTTTTAGCGGCACCTTCCATCTGATGTTATTGCGACATCAGGTGATTGACAGGGAGTGTCCCCGCCCACCTGCTAAATTTCATCTTCAAGGCCAATCAGCTTCGTGGAGCCAAAAAGCTATCTATGTAGGAATGGCTAAGTCAATGCAAACAGGAACTGAGCAGGAAGAAGAAACAAGTCTGTTGTGGATTGTGGATTTTTGAGGGGTTTCTCTACTGAGACCTTTCATGGGCGTCACAGAAGGGGCCGAGCACCCCATGTTGGTGATTCCCTGCATCAGGGCATTATACCTACTTGAAACGACAATTCACGGCGGGGGGTGAGCCCTTACCCAGCACGCTGGAGACCCCCTCATTTCCCCGCTTGAACTCCCCACCAAGCTGCCTCTGGGTTGTTTCCGGCGATGCCTCCACATTTCCAGCGAAGGTCACAGCAGCCTCTCGGAAGGCCCCTGGCACCTGAAATACCCGTCAACGTTTTAGTCAAGAAACAAAGCGGTCCAGACTAAGGTTACCAGATTTTTTTCAATGAATCTGGGGACCCTATACATAATACATACATACATACATACTTACTACACGTTTGGGATGTTGCTACTGCAGCGATGGCGGTGGGCTGGCAGAGGGGCGTCCACCGCCTTGACCTCAACCGTCCATGGTTCCCCTTCTCCTTTCTCCATGAGCCTGGGCAGGCCCTAAGTTGTACGTTCTTCGGTGGTGGTGGTGGGGAAGCAGTGCGCAGTGGGTCTGGCATACAAGGCGGAGGAGGGCCAAGAGCAGCAGCAGCGGCGAGGCTCAGGCAGCACGATGCCTCCCATCCCATCGGAGCAGCCCCAATCCCATTCCTACTTGCGTGCTAGCAGGAGGGAGCAGGGATCCCTCAGCTGGGAAGGGAGGCTTCCCGTTGCCTAACTGAGAGATCCTGCCCCCTCCTGCTTGCACGCAAGCTCCGATAGGCAGCGTGAAGCCTCCCTTCACAGCTGAGAGATCCCCGCCCCGCTCCTGCTTGCATGCAAGTAGGAGTTGGGAAATTGATGCTTTTGAATTCTGGTGATGGAGGAGACTCTTGAGAGTCCCATGGACTGCAAGAGGATCAAACCGGTCCATTCTGAAGGAAATCAGCCCTGAGTGCTCACTGGAAGGACAGATCATGAAGCTGAGGCGCCAGTACTTTGGCCACCTCGTGAGAAGAGAAGACTCCCTGGAAAAGACCCTGATGTTGGGAAAGATGGAGGGCACAAGGAGAAGGGGACGACAGAGGACGAGGAAAAGTTCTCCTCCTCTGCTCTCCCTCCGGAAAACCCCTCAACATCTTCAGGTGTGTATCTCTCTCCCTCAGGTATGCCCACCCACCTTTTACCTGTTGAATAAATGAGAAAAAGAAGGTTATTTCTCTTACTTCTCTTAATTTGATTTCTTCACCCTAACGTCCCTCAGTGGACTACAGAAATTTAAAATTCAGTACCAAATTATCTAAGGTTGTTCACCAAAGCCAGACTAAACGTCTTTCCTTCTGCAGTGTTGGATGGCAGGTTGAGAGGAGTTCCCTACCAGGACAGACTTTTGCTCATGTGCTCAAGACATCGATTCTATAAAACATATTTTGCTGCGAAACATGAGCAAGCCAAGGCTGAACTGATATTACCCTTGCTGGTACCTTTCCTGGGAAAATCAGAGGCTCATTATGTCAGGTTCCTATTGGAAGACCGGACAAACGCTAGAACATTAGCAGTGGCAAAGTTTTTATCGGTGGTTGCAAGAACCAATGATCCCTGTCTTTAAGTCTGAACAAAATGCTTGTTTAACCTGGAGGTAGGCTGTCTGAATTGTGCATTGCTTTGTAACAATTTGTTGGGTCTCTGGACCGTAATAAAGGGGGGGGGAAATCAATGCTAAAAGCAGTTCAAAACAATTTACAGTCACAGCGATCTGCTGTGACCTGAAAAACGTGTCTCTTGGATCATAGAATCATAGAGTTGTAAGGGACCCGAGGGTCATCTAGTCCAACCCCCTGCAATGCAGGAATCTCAGCTCAAGCATCCATGGCAGATGCCCATCCAACTCCTTTCCTGCAACTTGAAGCAACTGGTTTGAATCCTACCTTCCAGAGCAGGAGGAAACAAGCTTGCTCCATCCTCCATGTGACAGCCATCTTTGAAGATGGCTACCATATCTCCTCTCAGTCTCCTCTTTTGCAGGCTAAACATCCCCAGCTCCTTCAACCGTTCCTCACAAGGCTTAGCTTCTAGATCATCCTAGTTGCCCTCCTCTGCACACGCGAAGCCAAAGTGGTGGTGTCTTCAGCCTGTGATGGGAGCAATACAATGAAGGTGCATGATCCAGGGGGCACGACTCTAAATCCGGCCCTACTTCCCTGCCAGTTGGGCCTCACTTGCATCTTCCTGCTTGGCCTCCACATATAGGGGCCTCTGTTCGACATCTGCGGACGGCACTTCCTCAGAGACATCTGCGGCGGCCTCCTCAAATCCCACCTGCAACATCAGGAAGGAACCCTGTCAGGACAGAGCAACAGGGCAAGGAGGGAGAGGCCTGGGCGGAAAACCCTCCCTCAAACCCCACCCTGAAGCCATCACCCAGCCATACCCTCCAACGTTCCTTAGATGAAAAGAGGGGCATTTGTCACTCCCCACTCAACTGACCCTCCTCATCCCCAACCCCCATTTTTGTTCCCCAACCCATCCCAGCAGAGCATTCCCACCACGACCACACCAAGGGGATGCAGCACAAACGCCCTCCTGAGAAAAACCCTTCACCCCGGCTTTCTTTTTTGGTCAATTGACAAAAAGAGAAGCACACGCCAATGAATACATTTTAGAAAGGGGCAAGATTAGATGCAGACGCACAAATCACTTTTTTCAAAATACAGCAGTTTTTGAAACGTAATCCGTTCCTGAAGACCGTTCGACTTCCAAAACGAATGTAGTTGGTCAAGGGAGCCGTGGACTCAAGAAAGTCCAAAACCTCTGGGCTAAGGGAAACCCAGCCAGATTGGGGGGGGGTATAAAAAGTAAGTTATTATTATAATTATTGGCATTTTCTCAAGTCTTTAAAAGTTGTTACACACACTTGTCTTGGCTGCTCACCTCCATGCAACACGTAAGGTGAGAAACTCTGTCGCAACAGTAAAATTAAGATCTGCCTTGCTTTGACTGGTTCCTGCCGCCGCTCATTTTTCTCTGACCGATCATGGATTTAGCCCCAACCCCAAGAAACCAGTAACTGAAAGGAGGTGGTTCATGGGAATTGAAGAGTATGCTTTCTGCATACGACACACCCACTGCCAAGCACCTCCATCTCACCTGCCCCCAACCCCATACCACCCCTCTCCTAAAACCCCAGTCTGTCACTGAGTCCTTCCCAGCAATAGAATTAGCCGTTCTGGAAGATTCCTAAAATGTTATTAATCCAGAGTTCAGAATTCAAGGGTCCCAAATATAAAATAAACGTTCATAAATGTACACGGCAAACACATAAGTAAGTACAGGGGTTCAATCCTGTCAGCTTCTTTAGGAGACAACAAGAGTCTGCAAAGCAGGATACAAATAATAGAAAAAGTATTAAACTGTACATTTCAAAGAATATATATATATATCACCCTAGTGTTGCATGGCATTAACGTTTTCTAACCACTAGGCCACACGGCCTCTCCTAGAACCTTGGCACTGAGGCCGGGAATTCCATGTTCCCAACTGCCGTTGCCTAGCAACGGAGCTTGGGACCGTTTGAGGTTCCTCAGTTCCTCAGCATCCTGAGGTGGGCAGAGGTGTGCCAACCTGTTGCGACAGAGTTTCTCACGTTGCACGGAGGTGAGGAGCCAGGACAAGTTTAAAGACTTGAGTATAGCGTCACGAAGAGTCGGACACGACTAGACAGCAACAACAAATGGAGGTAAGTCTAGGTTGCCATGGCCAGGGGACCTAACCCTGGAACCTACTTGTATGAACTTTATTATGGTCACAGACCAGGATAAAAAAAAAAAGAAAGAGCATATAAATAAAGTAGCAGTTAGGATTTATTTATTTTTAACCGATAACTGTTAGAGCAAATGAGGACAAAGAAACAGGCATAGGATAAAACAGTTTAATGGTCACTTTAAAATGTGAAGGTTCATTGTTGCTTCACAAGTTGTGTATGTCTTTAAGGGCCAGGGCAAGTAACGAAACCCACTCTTACAGCTGTGAAACATAGCAGGTTCTGCTGAGTTGTGTTAATCAAGCTGTGTCAGCAATTGGGTATAGTACCGTATTTTTCGCTCCACTGGACGCACTTTCCCCCCCTTAAAAAGTAAGGGGAAATGTCTGGGCGTCTTATGGAGCGAAGCCAGCAAGAGCCGCTGCTGCCGACAAGCTCTGCGCAGCTCTCCCTTTAAAGCAAGAGCTGTGTAGAGTGTGTCTGCGGCTCTGGCTGGCTTTACAGGGAGGCGGGTCTGTCCCTCCTTCCGGCTCATTGTAAAGCCAGCAAGAGCCGCGGCTGCTGAGCTGAGGCGGGGAGGAGGGAGGGAAGGGGATTCCGTTGGTCCCTCCCTCCTCCGTGGCTCCCTTTGAAGCAGCAAAGTGGAGGGAAGCCGCTTACACCCGTGTAAGCAGCTCCTCTCCCACTTTCCTGCTTCAAAGCAACCACGGAGGAGGGAAGGAGGGGACCCATGGATCCTCTTCGCTGCTCGAGGCTGCAGCGGATTCCCTCCTCCCGGGCTCCCTTTGAAGCAGCAAAGTGGGAGGGAAGCCGCTTACACCCGTGTAAGCAGCTCCTCTCCCACTTTCCTGCTTCAAAGCAACCACGGAGGAGGGAAGGAGAGGACCCATGGATCCTCTTCGCTAGCAGCAAAGTGGGAGGGGAGCAGCTTACACTCGTGTAAGCAGCTCCTCTCCCACTTTCCTGCTTCAAAGCAGCCACGGAGGAGGGAAGAAGGGGACCCATGGATCCTCTTCGCTGCTCGAGGCTGCAGCGGATTCCCTCCTCCCGGCTTAATAATGTATATACCGTATTTTTCTCTCTATTACACGCAGATTTTTTCTCCTAAAAAGGAAGGGGAAATGTCTGTGCGTGTTATGGAGCGAATGTGGGGGGTCCCTGGAGCCGATTAGGGGAGCGCAGGAACAAAAATCAGCAAAAATCAAATCGTGCGTTGCGTCGGAGAGGGAAACCTGAAAAGAGGAAGTGGTTGCTTTCCTGCATTCTGCCTCAGGGTCTTACTGCCCACCCTCCTCTGTTTCGTTGCTGTGTTTGCTCAAACGGAACAAAGAGCAGGCAAATCCCCTCCCCTCCAGGCAAGCAGAGGGGAAAGCAGAGGTCTTTCCTTCTAATTCCTCTCCGTGCTCCTCGCAGGCAGCCAGAAAACATGCAGGAGGAGAGAGAGAGCTGGCTTCGGTTTGGGGAAACTTTTTGCCTTTCTTTCCTCCCTCCCGTTAAATCCCTCTCCTGCTTTCTTAGCCAGCTGCTTCTCTGCACACCGCTCTCTTGTCCCTTCTGTGTTTTCCTTCACTCCCCACTTAAATGTAGTTACAAAGCATGGATCCACATGGATCCTCAGGATCTTTGCATTGGGCCACCCAAATTCACCAATCAGAATCAGCATAGCAGCCTGCCCCCAAAAATCACACACCCACTGTTGCCTGGGGCTGCAATGGTGCAAAAACGTGGTTAAAAAGCATGGATCCACATGGATCCTCAGGATCTTTGCATTGGGCACCCCAAATTCACCATCAGATCACATAGCAGCCTGCCCCCCCAAAAATCACACACCCACTGTTGCTGGGGCTGCAATGGTGCAAAAATGTAGTTAAAAAGCATGGATCCACATGGATCCTCAGGATCTTTGCATTGAGCTAACCCCCAAATTCACCATCAGATTACATGTTGTGCCACAGATGAAGCACAAAAATGATACATCCACTGTTTCATTCAGAATTTCCCCCTTGTTTTCCTCCTCTAAAAACGATGTAGCGTGTTTATGGTCCAGGTGCGTGTTATAGAGCGAAAAATACGGTATGTCAAGGGCTTTGAGATGCATATAAAATCAGGCTCAGCATTATTAACTGGACTTAGATAAGCCATGGTTCACCCTTCCTTCCCTCCTCTGAGTCTCGCTTTAAAGCAGCAAAGTGGACAGGAGCCACCCGCTTTGCTGCTTTAAATAGTTTGGTACAACATTTATTCAGAATATTTTTTTTCATGTTTTCCTCCTCTAAAAACTCTCTGTCTTCTGTCTCCTCTGCCCAGGAGGACTCTCCTGTGTGAGTGTCTGAATAGTTTAGTACAACATTTTATTCAGAATATTTTTTTTCATGTTTTCCTCCTCTAAAAACTCTCTGTCTGAGGGCCCTGCTCTTGCCGCTTACCACCTACCTGGCCCAGGCCTGAAGCATCACAGGGACTGCTGCACTCTGCTGCCCCAGGAGGACTCTGCTCTTGCCGCTTACCATCTACCTGGCCCGGGGCGGGGCCTGAAAGCCTCATAAGGACTGCTGCGCTCTGCTGCCCAGGAGGACTCTCCTGTGTGAGTGAGGGCCCTGCTCTTGCCGCTTACCACCTACCTGGCCCAGGCCTGAAGCCTCACAGGGACTGCTGCACTCTGCTGCCCAGGAGGACTTGCTCTTGCCGCTTACCATCTACCTGGCCCGGGGCGGGGCCTGAAGCCTCATAAGGACTGCTGCGCTCTGCTGCCCAGGAGGACTCTCCTGTGTGAGTGAGGGCCCTGCTCTTGCCGCTTACCACCTACCTGGCCCAGGCCTGAAGCCTCACAGGGACTGCTGCACTCTGCTGCCCAGGAGGACTCTGCTCTTGCCGCTTACCATCTACCTGGCCCGGGGCGGGGCCTGAAGCCTCATAAGGACTGCTGCGCTCTGCTGCCCAGGAGGACTCTCCTGTGTGAGTGAGGGCCCTGCTCTTGCCGCTTACCACCTACCTGGCCCAGGCCTGAAGCCTCACAGGGACTGCTGCACTCTGCTGCCCAGGAGGACCCTGCTCTTGCCGCTTACCATCTACCTGGCCCGGGCGGGGCCTGAAGCCTCATAAGGACTGCTGCGCTCTGCTGCCCAGGAGGACTCTCCTGTGTGAGTGAGGGCCCTGCTCTTGCCGCTTACCATCTACCTGGCCCGGTGGGGCCTGAAGCCTCATAAGGACTGCTGCGC